TATGACCAATAATGTTGCAGATTCTTCTTTGGATTTTGTCAAGAATCTCTAGATATACAGCGGATATGCCAGAAATATCTGATGCACAAACAAATGGTAGACTTATATATGTGTAAGATTGATTCTGGCAAAAAAAACTGTCCTCATAACATTGCAACCAGTTATTTCAATGTTTTCTTGATGATCAATCCACTTTTCTTGCTTATTACCATTTTAATTTTGTTGTGGCATTCTTGGTGCTTTTAGCTCCTGTAAATCAGTATTTACCTCTTTTTATCATTAATATTTATTATTTTATTTAAAAAAAAAAAAAAAAAAAAAAAAGAAAAGAGAGATGCTAATTTACAGGAACTAAATGCTCTGAAGAAATGCTGGATCTAGCTCCAAAGAAGCTAAATTGGAAACTATGATTGACGTTACACAGAAGCTATTATGCCTGATTCAGTTGCATATATCTTTCTACAGCCAAATAGTTTAAAGTGTTTGTAAAAAAAAAAAAAATAATTTGGCAGAGATATATACAGGGTGTACCAAAAATACTTTCCCAAACTTTAGGGGAGAGTTCCTCATACTAAACTAGAACATAACTCCATATAATCATATGTTCACAAATTCTTCATTTGAGTTATTATGTTTAAAGAAAGTTTACAGTAGATGGCGCTGTGTTGCCATGTAGACAAGGTTACATTTGTCATTTGCGTACATTTGTGGATAGTCCGTCTTCAACATTTAACATGGGTAGTAGTAAGTTATACGAGAAGTATTCCATTTAACAATGGCAGAATATTCATATCATGAGAAGGCAGATATTTTTTTTTAGATACGCCCGCATGAGTGGTAATGGACATGAGGCTTCCTGGCCATATAAGATTGTGTTTCCAGACTGAAGGCGGCAGCTGAGTTATTCAACCTTTGCTGATATTTGTCCCATTGCTGAGACAAGATCTGTGGCACCACAAACTATGGGGTAATAAATATTTTTGAATTGTATCTTGGATTGTACATTTAACAGCATCTAACATAAACTTTAAACTTAACTAAAAATGAAGGATTTGTGGATATATGTCAGTGTGGACTTTTGTCTGTTTTGGCATGAGGAATCCATCCCCAAAGTTTTTAAAAATATTTTTCATACACCCTGTATATGAAATTAAGTCAAATGTGATAAAAATTATACTGAAGTCCAAACTACTTCAATGATTCCAGTTCCAAATAAGAACCAGCAAACATTTTCAGTTTTATCTTCAATATTTATAGAATTTGTGCAAATAGATCTTTGCTGATCTTTTATTATAACATTTCAATTGGTCAAGTCACCAGTTTTCTTTAGGCAAATTTAACAACTAGTAAATAACTTATAGTTCTTCACTTGAAAAACTGATACATAATCCAAATAATAAAGAGAAGGATATTCATTTATAAACTTCCACATTTTAGTGAGTGTGAGTCTCTCTCTATCAGATATACCACTCTTTGGGGAAGCTTATGGTACTGAAAATCATGCATGTGGTCTTCTCAGATTCTACAGAAGTTTTTGATGCTTACAAATATATTTGTATCTTTTGATAGAGTTTGATGGGCAACTCAAGAGCAAAGAAATTTAATGTGCCCAGGTTGAAAACCCTGATTTCTTCCAAAGATGACAAATTTGAAATTGACTAGAGAATTCAACTCGGTTCCTGTGAAAATCTTGCAGATATCACTGAAAATATCTTCTTGGAATTGGAGCAATTAGGGAGAAATTCAAAACACAGCTTCACAAATAATCTTTGTTTAAAAGTAGCTTGATAGTCAAAATATATTCATTGTCCATTGACAAGAAAAAAAAAAAAAAAAAAAGTTGGTTATTTATTAGACTCTTTACTAAATGTGCTCTCATTTTAAGATTTTAAAGTGTCCAAAGAAAAAAAAAAAAGTTTTGAATGAACTTGATCTGTTCAAACTAAAAATTGTTAAAAATATCAAACATGTTCTCAGCTGTGCCTTCAGATTTCTTTTACCAACCATGATTACCTTAAATTTCTCTTTAGTAAATCAATATGAAATTTAAAAGACTTACCTTGCAACTTCAAGTTTCACAGAAATAAATCCTCTTTTCAGGGCCAAGATAAATCAAGGATTTATTCATCTTACCTTTGAAGAGCAGATTTATTTTTGTTAAAATCCCAATCAGGACTGAAGTATAACTTTTATTTACATTTACTCACTGTTAATTCTCGGTTTCTTAATACTGAGCACTATACAAACACCACTTGGCCTTCAACCCATTTTTCTCCAGCAATATACTATCAACTGTTTTGTTTTTCAGGCAAAAACATTATTAAACATCTCTAAGTTTTAAGAGACAAATTTATTCCCTCTGTCCATTATTAGTATTTGCTGATTAGTGTTTAGTTGTTTTATTCCTACAAGGAAATGCTGATAAGTTCTTGGCCCAACAGAGAATGGATTAAAATAAATTTGATGCTTGATAATTTGGTGAGATTTTGGAAATTGGGTTGAGCTAAAATCTTTTCATCATTCCCTTGTAAAATCAAGTTATTTAATTCATTGAGGTTCTGATTGTGGTATAAACTTAAAAAAACAAAACCAAAAACTTGAAAACAAAATCACCTGTTTATTAACCATGTAGCAATGGCTGATGAAATATCTATGAAAAAAATTCCTTTCCTCTGGCAGTAAATCAGATCGTGTTTCAGAACAATTTGTACATGGCAATGAAGCAGTAATTATCCTGGAATAACTGATGTTTTAACTTGATACGACATCACACAAAATACACTAATCCTGAGGGGTTAATTAAATATTAATTCCAATAATCTATAAGAAATTTAAGCTACTAGAATAATTAGCTATGAGTTTTCGGTATAGACTCCTTGTTAAGAAAAAAAATTTTGTGCCAAGGGATGAAGGTGTTATTCTAAAAAGTGGGTCAGGTAGCAAACTCAGCAGAAGCTGAAACGATACTGTGTGTTTCTGCCATAAAATCTCAAAACAGGTTCTTACAAGAAACTTAAGTGATGAATAAAGAAGATTTTTTGGGGTCTCATTTTCTACTTTTTCTAATGGCAAATAAGAAAATGGCAACTTGCACAGATTTCAAATAAAACTATATTTAATCCATTCATTGCTACATTGGATATTTAAATTCTTACAGAAAGCTATCTATATTTTCATAACCATTAAAAATTGCTATATAAAGAACACTTATGCTTTATTTTAGAAAATAAAATAAACTTTATTAAACTATAAATAATGATACCAATGTGTGTCCTTGATATTAATTAGCTTTGTTTCCTCTCTAGTGACTCAAGATTTTTGTTGAGAAAAAAAAGAAAAAAGAAAAAAAACAGATGTACATGCACATTAGAGGGAATGTTGCATGCCAGTTGGAAATAGAAAAAGGAAAAAAAATAAAAAACAACAGGTCACCTTAGCATCTGTCTATATTTCTGAGGAATTGTAACTTTTAAACTATTTACATTGTTCGGACTGTTGTCCTCATCTTTGTCATATTCACAATGTTTCAGCTGTTGTACGCTCCAACCATCTTCAGGTTATATATATATATATATATATATATATATATATGGAATTTCAAACCAAACCCTTTATTTAATTCGCTGGGATAGATTGTTCTACTTCCACATGCCATGCCTTTTCTGGATATCTCAGTTTCAGTTATTTCCTTTTAGTAATTCATCTCTGCTGTGGCCAGGTATTGAACTCTCAACTCTTTGGGTAAAGTCACTGGATTACTTCAACCAATGCCTGGCATGTAGAACTAGAACAATCTACCCCAGCGGACTAATAAAAAAGAAAAAAAAAAGTGCTTGGTTTGAAATCCTAACATACATCACCTGAAGAAGGTTGTAATGTACAACAGCCAAAATGTTGTGAATATAGCAATAAAGATGAGGACAAGTCTGAACAATGTAAATAGGTAATCTTAGGTTGCAAACTATCATTTATACAAAGGATTCTCTTCATTAGAATTATTGTCACCATTTTCATTAAAATTTTGTACATCTGCTTTAAACAATTATTTTGGCTTTTTGCAGCATTTTTCAAATGTAATCTTCCTTAACCAAAGATACATTTGTATTTTGCAAGAGTCTAAGTCCCTGCTTTTACTGTCTATATACAAACTAATAACCTGGTGTTATTTTATTTTCAATTATAAATAGAGTTTAGGTAGGCTTACTTTTAGAAGAGTCTATTTTTGTTGAAAATAAATAAATAAATAAATAAAAAACTAAATTTCTTTTGAAGCTAAATGACTATGATTATTATTTATACTAATATTAGTTTATATAGTGACTGAGTTCATTGATCAGGTTTATCTAAGTTTTTTTTATAAAAGATCACAGTTCAAATTTTACTCATCTCACAGTCACAAGATGAATGTGTATGTGTGTGTATATATTATATATAAAAGCAGAGAGGTGAGAAATATACTTAATTTAAAACACCAAAAAGGTTTTAGTTGGAGGAAAAAAAAAAAAAAAAAAAAAAATTCTCTACATCAGAAATGACTATAGTCACCCTCATGCACCGGATAGTGATCAGTTCTTTCATTAATAAATAACTAGATTTGTAATTTCCTAGGATTGAAGACATTTCTCATGGGAATAAAAAAGGGTCTTGCACCAATCAAATTTCCATGACTAGTGTCTAAGAAATATAAAATATGAAAGAGCAATTCTCATGAGTCTTCAAGGAGTTCCATTTCTCTGATTTTGTTATCAATTGTTGTAAAGTATTTAAGTTTTATGACAACCTCCTTGGCACCAGCAAGATCTTTCTGCCGGAAAGCTTCCGAGAGGATTTCATAGCACTGGTTAATGTTCCTTGTGTTTAAGTTTTCAATCATACGAAGAGACTCAGAACTTGTTACTTGCTCCAGATTCTCATTTGTTTCCATGATTTTCATGAGAAATTCAACGTCCTCACACTGTGTGCCATTGTTCAGTGATTCTCCGTAGATGCTTAGCATGTACAGTCCCCGAGAAAGTGGCTTCAGTAAAGATGTGTAGGCCAGGTTAACAAGTGAAGATTGTTCAGCAGAGTAAAACTTTTCCCTCTACAAAAAAGAGAAGTTAAAAAGGAAAAAAATAACTAATATTTGGGAAGATATAAAAAACACAAGGTTTAAAAAAAAAAAAAAAAAATTTGAAAAACTGTAATAAGCAAGAAAATAAAATTAGAAAACGCACTAAAAAAATTATTAGTCTCCATTGTTTTAAACAATTTTCTCCCATCATTATTCTACAAACTTGTTGATGCCATTTTTGTAGAAACTTTGTTTTTTGTTGGAAGAAGGTTGTGAGGTACTTTTGGACTAACTATACAGTCAAATAAAAAAAAAAAAAAAAAAAAAAAAAAAAAAAAAAAATTATCAATTACTGTCTCCATTGTTTTAAACAATTGTCTTCCATCATTATTCTACAAACTTTTTGATACCATTTTTGTAGAGACATTTTTGTTGGAAGAAGGTTGTGAGATAGTTTTTCAATTGATTATACAAAGTCAATTTTATTATTTAAATTATTCTCTAGAGATCAGAACAAATCCAAAGTAGACAAGTCAGGAGAATGTGGTGGGTTCTGAAACATTCCTCATTTCACCTCTAAGCTTTTGCAAATTTTGTTTTGCAACATAGAATTTTGTGTTATGATAGAAAATGATACATTTTTGATTTGGCAAAATTGTTTTTTTTCCTTAAATCTAAGTTTCTTCAAATGGCAAAAACCAGTTAAGACATGGATATTTAAACTCTTAGCAATCTCTTCCATCAACGGCAAACAGAGGGTCTTCATGTGTAGTCGATTGCTTAGGTCAAAATCACTCTGGTGAAATCTGCCAGACCAATTTTTGACAGTCCAAAGAGATGGAGAATGATCCAAATAAACCTTCTAAATGTCCACCCCCTACCTTACAGTTTCGCCACTTATTCCTTTCCAAAATTCATATAGCATAATATAGCAAAAGTGAAACTTTTCCTCCTCCATCTTTAAGGCATTTATTTGTGGACAAAATCCTCCATCTTTAAGGCATTTATTTGTGAACTAAATTCTGAGAATCTGATAAAAAAAAAAAAAAAAAAAAAAAAGAAAATGACTACTCATCATTTCCACCGTTTCCTTTGAAGTAGTCCTTTGCCTGATTTTTGCTTGCTACATTACAATAGGTATATAAAAAAAAAAAAAAAAAAAAAAAAAAAATATAGTGCCACAATTGCTTAGTCACCATTCAAACTTCCTGAACACAAAATAACACTTTGTATAAAGCATAGAATTAGAAATTTAACTGACAGTGGTAAGTAACATTTTTTTTTTGTGTCATATACAACCAATTATCCAACGACATTGCATTCAAAACATGAAACAAATCTTTTATGCTAAGCTTTCTGGGAATTTTCCTTATTTCAGGGTCCAAAATATTCCAGATATGTTTATTAGATTTTATGTAAAGAGAAATGCATTTTTCTCACATATTTTGCTACGCAAAACAAAAGCTTTTTTCAAAAAGGTGTCGTTTTTATTTTATCTAAGAAAACGGAAGTGAATATTGGAAGAATTTTCTCCCTTAAAAGATCATTCCATTAGGCACTTTTCCAATGGCCTAAAGGCAGTCTTAATGAAAAACTATTTTTGTTTCTTCATTATCAAATTATAGTTAGAAGTAACAAAAAAGTAATTCCAACAGATTTTTGGTTTGGTGCGTTTTACGGCATATCAACCTCGATGGGTTATTTAATGCCGACATTTTTTTTTCCTGGTAATATTTTGTATTGTCAAAAACTTATTTCTGGTAATAATTTTTTTCTTCAAAAACTTATTTCTGGTAATAATTTTTTTTTATTTTTACAAAGTATTTCTGGTATTAAAACCTGTTTTTACACTTTTATAATGCTTTTTACCTCGGTTTTGGGGTTAACTATTTGTTCATAGCTAGGACCCTAACATAGGTACCTCCACGAAATCGCTAAAAAAAGAGCATAGCTTGATGAAAAAGACGCCAACCTTGCCGAAAACAAAATTTTATTGTCTAAATGCTTATGTTATTATTTAGAGGAAAGACCAAAGTTTTTTTTAATTATTTTTAAAAAATTTTCCTTTAGAAAATTCTAAATTTTGATTAAAAAAACCTTGTTTCTATTTGTATCAGCGGAACTAGTAAATAACATAGACAACTTTTAGCACGTTTTTTTAGTATGACACACATTAATTTGAAAAATCGTTCAAAAATAGAAATAATTATCGGATGTTAATGAAACTTTCAGCAACTATTCACAGATGATCGAAATTATTATAAATATTTTTTTTTATGAAAGTCATGGTAGAAATATTTTTAAAAAAAATATTTATTACCCCCCATAACTAATTTTATGAAAACGCTAGAAATTGATCGCATCGGTTTTAGTGATTACAATAATTAAAAGCACAGGGCTTTGAGGAATGCAAACCATGTTTTTTTTGTTTTTAATTGGAAACCCAGTACCTGAAAAAATCAGCTCTGAATTGTAACATACAAAACTCAATAAAACAAATATATTATTTAATTTCAAATGCTTTTATTTGCTTTTAGTTGTTTTTATGAATATGGACAATATTTTCTGAAAGCAAAAAAAATTTTTCCGATGAAAATGAATTTTAATACAATTATTTGTTATTTCATTAATTATAATAGATTTTACATTTAAGTTGTTAAAATATTATAAAATTAGTTAAAAAGTCGCTCAGGCTTTCATAAGTGTCCTTATGAGATAGATCTTTTTTTTTTTGTTGTAAATTGTATCATTTTGACTAATCAGAAGATCCCCAGTAATTAAGAAATGTAATTTTGTGCTTATAATCGAGCTGTAATTATAAAATACGGAGACCAACCAGAATATAATTAAGTTGCGTTATTTGAGTTAAGCATTGTTCTCCGCTGTTAAGGCCTTTACTTTTGCGAAACACGTGGAGAAGTTAATTTGATTTTTCAATTTCAACTGAGAAGGTTACCTACAAGTATCAGTATCATCTTATGAAATTTATATGATCTTATTTTTATATTAATCTCAGTTACGACATTTTTCCATAAATGAAATATCAAAATTAATAATAAAATGAATGCAAATACAAATAACAGTAGAATGTAATAAATGTACATAAAATTATAGTATTTTATGTACAATTCTGATAAAATTTCATAAGAAAGGTACTTATAAATTAATTAGATACCTTTCTTAAGAAATATGAAATTTAATGTCACTCTTAACAGTTTTATTTTAATTTCTTTACAATATATTTCCCATAAAGCATCATAAACGTAAAGGTGAAAGCTAAGTACAAAAAAAAAAAAAAAAAAAAATTAGACCGCTGAAAGTTTTTCGTTAAAAATAACGGGGTAAATAATTTGTTCACGTAAATGTAAATTATTTCACTTTTCTCCTTCCGAGAACAAATTAGCCTCATGGAATTCGTAAATATATCATTCATCACATGTCAAGAGACGCGAAAGTTTATGACCTGCTTTGTTTTATTTTCAAATTACATCTTTTTGGCACAAAAGCTAAGTTAAGTTTGGTTCAAAATATTTTAAATAAACATTATAATTTCTGATTTTCTTAAAATAAGTTTTGAAAAAAAATGATAATTGATATTTAAAAAAATTTCAAAGTCAGATTTCCAGTTTTTTTTAAATGGAAAAAAAATGGTCAATTTTGCTGACTCAAAAACTAGATTTTTAACGAAAATTTCGGACGTGCTAGGAACGATTAAAAATGGAAAAAAATACCCCAAAATACTTTTGACCTTTCCTCTTAATGAATAACAAACATTTAGACGATAAAATTTTGTTTCCGTCAAGTTTGGCGTCTTTTTCATCATGCTATGCTCTTTTTTTAGCGATCTCGTGGAGGTACCTACCCTAACAGGTATTACCACCCAGGGTGGACCTGGAAACACCAGCAATTAAGAGGTGGTTCCACACTCCTCAAAACATCCTGATCAGAGGCCTTGCTGTTGGACGTAGTTTATCGTCTTACCCTGGATGTGGATGTAGTTTATCATCATACCTAGGATGGACTTCCAAAAAGGGTAACAATTAAAATGGATGGCACATGTAATTAGAAAGAAAAATGATATAATCAGGATGTTGTTATTCCATACTACCTTAAACAAAAGGCTAGGAAGGAAACTCCCATCAATACTAGAAAGAATCACTTATTGGACCTGAAACTTATTTTCCCGAAAAAGTTTTTTTTTTTTTTTTAAGAGAAAGACTTCATGAATTTCAGCTGAGAATTAAAATTGTTCCTTCAATGAATGCTAAACTAAGGTTTCCTCTGCGGAAACAGCTACTTACCATTACCAAAAGCACAAGTTGGTGATAGCGGTCTTCACCTTTGTATACAAGACACAGGGCAATTGTTTGGAGTCATATGTGCTAATATTTCCAGTGTAACTGTTTTTAAAAGATGGGCTGTGAACTTTTGTACAAAATTTATTTTTTAAAAAGAAAAATTTCTTTTAGTTTTCTTTTAATGCAACATGAAATTTAAGAAATAGGACTCAAAGAAGAAAACTTAATTCTGTTTTTTAGTCTAGTTACAATACATGATAACCACGTGAAAAGTGGAATCGGCGAACCGAGTTCAAATGACAGTAGTCTGTTGCGTTCACTTTCGTACACATCTCTTTGGGGGGAAAATACGAATCCATTTCTTCTTCCCCACCTCATGGGTTAAATTGTTGGGCTCTGTAGCTTTGGATAATAACCAGGACAAATTTGAATTCAAAAGTCGTGGAAAAGGTCATGGAAAACCACTCGGCTATCTTTCCCAAGAAGTCATGACGATTCAAGATAAGAAAAATAATCTGCGGAGGGCCATGACCGCCTTACGTCCTGAAGAAACATGGCACCATAAATAAACAACAACTGAACTGACAAAATAAAAGTCTTCCATGTAATAAAAAGGTGATCACAAACAAATAACCACTTATTTAAAAATGCAAATTAATAGTTCAACGAAAAAAGGCGAGGCTGACATAAAAATAAATAAATAAATAAATGTTCGTTCATTAAAAAAAAGAAAAAAAGAAAAGGTAATTAAATAATTTAGAAATAATTAGAAATAAAAGGAGACAATTGAAACTTTCAGAACGATAGATTTCGGCAGGTCTTTGTGTTAATAAAAATAAAATGTGGTTACATATTTTATGGACAGAATCTGAAAGATTTCCACGTGTTTGTTCAAGACATGCTTTCGGTTTTGTTAACAAAACGAAATGTTTTTCAAGAAAAAATCTGTCTTGTAACAAATGACTTTAAATTATAAAGTTTATAATAAACTGTAATAATAAGCCAAATATTTTAACGAATCCTATTAAAGACGATAAGTTTGAAAAAAAAAAAAAAATGTCCATTCATGAAAAAGAAAAAAAATGTCAACTTTAAGAATTTTTTTATGAACACTTTTTTCAGACAAACTATTTTTCCAGTTTGCAAAGAAAATAGACGACAAAATACAAATCTGTGCGCCTTATTCAAATTCATTGAAATTTTAAAATAATTAAATACGTTTGAAACCAAACTTTTTCTATTAATGTTTACAACAAAAAAAAAAAAAAGGCGTTAGTATGTGAATTTGTTGCCATTATTATTTTTACTCTTGAAGATAAAATTTTAAAACAGAACTCATTCGACAACATTTTTCTTATATTTTTTCACATCAATACAGGAAAAATAAATTATATAGTTTGTTTTTGTTTTTTTACAGATTTACAAAAATGAATGGTTTTACTTTTAATGTTTGGGTGTTTTGAGAAAATTTCTAAAAAACTAAAGTTGAACAAAAAAAATATAACTTTAACAAATTTTACCTGGGATTTTTGGCTAAATTTATCCGGGTGAAGGATTCTTTGCAAATCCTTGTATTTTTTCGTAAGGAGCTCAGTATCCAATTCAAAACTTTGCTTCATACCTAAAAGGTCAAAATAAGTTGACCTATCCGATGGGGGTAAAATCGCCCCACAAAAACAGAAAAATATTTCTTTATCAGCATCTCTTTTTTTACCACAATTCCAACAAGTAAATGTCTTCTTGTTCTGATCCTGAAACGAAGAAGACGGTCCGTCATTACTTAACAAACGTTTATTTTGAGTTTGACCCAACATAATTAGATGATTTCGAATCGAAAGAAGCCCGTTTTCCTTTGTGTCACTGGGAGAACGTTGTATCAACGAAAAGGCTTTCTTTTCACTGTAAGAAGAAGCCAAGGCAGAGTGAAATTGCTTTGTCGCTTTCGAATTACTCTGCATTATTTTAAACCACATGTTTGTCAGTCTCAGACTGACAGAATAAGAAGGAGAAGCAGACATTATTATATACTGCTACTCAATTGAGAGGAAAGAATTTCTTTCCTTCTGTGGCTGATGCCAAAAGCTGAAATGCAATTTTCGTTTCAGTTTTTATTTAGTGTCAATGTTGCTTGAATACTGTTAGAGATTATCAAGTTAAATTAAAACAGTCATTCATTTATTCATTTGTTGTCGACATTTATTTTAGTGTGTGTTGCGGTGTTTATCTACAGGAGAGAAAAAAGACAGAAATTACAATACATGAAGAAAACTAGTAAAAGAAGTTTACCCAACCTTTAAGTAAAAATTCCTTTAATTTTTTTTTTCCTTTTTTTACAACATATGGTACCAACCTTATTATCATTACGTACTGAAAATAAAGTTTAGTTGAAAAATTATGAATGTTTGATTCCCTCCACCCGATTTTCAATAACCATTAGCACAGGCTATAAAAGTCAACAAAAATGAATGTGTATGTTAATTTAAGTTTACATTAATTTGAGATTTTGAGAAAAATAACTGATTTGATTCCGTTTTAGTTTTCTAGTGTAAAATTACTCTAAAAATATTTTTATTTTAAGAAATGATAATATGCATTTCTTAGGAATCAAGATGATGTGTTATTCTAACTACTAATTATTCTGTTTAGAATTTACATGGAAATAGTTTCTTTTAAAAATACTCTCTTGAGAAAAAACAACACTGAATTTTGAACTGTGTACAAAAATGGAAAACCTAAAAAAAGAATTTTCTTTTTTCTAGTTACAATACGAAATAATAAATGAATCGGTCCTACTTAACAGTTGAGTTGAGTAGTTTATCGACGCTCACATTACTAATAATTCGCTGAAAAAAGACCCTACCATGATGAAAAAATGTCCCAAACTCTTTTTTTTGGAGAATTTAAAAATCATCAATTTTTCTACCAAAAATCTGCTCTGTAACTGTTAAGGAATATTGTTATTAAGTAAAATTTTAATTACTAATCATAAATAAAGTTAATACCAATTTATGAACCCCGTGTATTTTAAAAAGAATTTTGAATAGTTTTTGCATGTGTATAAATGTGCCGATTTTTGTACACATGAACGTCCACACACAATGTTACAAGGTTGAGTGTGTTCTTAATATAAGTTATTCCATGTTGCATATATTAGTAGTTGATAGGATTCCTTTTTGATATATACTGAAAATGAATGGAACATAGAACAATAAAATTACAATGAACAAGCAACAAGACTTTACTTTGCTATATGTGTTGAATTGAAATTAATGATAAGAGTGTGTATTTTTGTGATGTTTTATTACAATACTGCTTTTGTATGTTAAATGTACTCAGGGTTATTGTCTTTTTTTTCCTTAAAATTTGGTCTTACTTGCTTATAATCGTTCCGAAAATTTCCTGGTTGTGGGAAGCTTTTGAAACCATCGCTGTTGGATTTTCACAAAGCAAAGAAAATACACATCATGTTCAGTCTGTGTCTACTTCACTACTCTCTCTCTCTCTCTGTCTTGCTTGTGGTGGAATGGTCGCGTCCCTTGTATCAGACTGTCAATGGCGACAGTGGAAAAGTTATTTTTAGAATGATGAAATTTCAGATTATTATTTTTTTTATAATGAAATATCATCATGATCACAAATCATAACACACAACATTATCAGAAAATAAGAGTGGTATCAATGGTAAATTTAAAGCCAAAAGTATCTACAATTCAATAGGACATTAAATTACGGAGAATATTTTCTTAAATTTTTAAGATTACTGACTACTTAAAAATTAAAATATAAAAAGAGCTCACATTATATATACAAACCAGTTTGTTAAATGCAACCAACAATTTCTGTCTATGTATTTTTATTACGTTTTTCAAATTTCCAAATAGTACATTGTATATTGGAATTGCAATTATGAATAACCTGTCCAAAGTTGATTTTTTTTTTTTTTTCTGTTTTGTTCCACTACTTTCGACTATCTCAACTGTTCAACAATGACTGGGACATTTATTATATAATGGAAGATAGCTATGGAAGAAAGGTTTATTTTCCCTTCTGTCTTCTCCCATTATGGACATTATTATATCCATGATATAATAACACTGTATTTCACAGATGGAACAGAATGGCTGAAAAAGGAATGACAACCATGCTTGGTTCTCAGAGAGTCTTTTATACTATTGAGACATACACAAAATATATATATATATATATATATATATATATATATATATATATATATATATATATATATATGTAAGGCATCCAATAGATGTATTTTATGAAATATATATATAGATACACATATCCCACACCCAAAAAAAATATCATATATACATGGCAAGCAGAGTGAAAGGAGAATGAAAAGAGTTTTACATATAATATGGAGATTCTTTTGTGTTTCTGGAGAAACCATGTTTAGAACCCCAGATTCAAATGGCAGGATTCATCTACTATGATCCAAGTGAGGAAATATTCTTTGAAATGGTAAGTCTTGGATATTCTCAAATTAATTACTGCCAGCCAGAGTTTCTTTCTATAAATAAATAAATTTCTTTCAAGATATATTTCCAAAGGGAAATGGTGCCATGTGCTTTTAAGCTGTTGGGGGAGGGGGCAGACTTAACCTCAGCTCATACCTCTGAGCCTGAGTCAAACAAACAATTGGCTCGTTAAGCTCCTCTAAACCAAATGAATGACTAGCCACTTTCATCACTGTTTGAAGAGACATCCCTGTTGACCGAGTGGAGATTATTGCCTTTTGTACCCTTACAATTATATTAAAATGTCCCAGTCAGTCAGAGGTGAATGCTATTTGATATATATATATATATGTATATATATATATATATATATATATATATATATATATATATAAAAATATATAAAAATATAAATTTTCCAAGAGGACAGAATCCAGATTATAAAATAGATTAAGTCCAACAATTATTTAATATTGTTAGAGTAAACTGTTTATGCAGTTATCTCCCTTGTTATGGAACTCTTTAAAAAGAGGTTAATTTTATACTTCCTGTATATTTTTTTTGTTGTCAGTTGGTGAATAAACCTGTTATGTTGTACATCTCTTGTTCCATTCTCCTTTCCTACATACTCCTTGTCATTATAATATGTTGACTTACCACTGTAACCCAACAAATATATTTTCTGTTTATACATTATTTTTATAGATACAATATATTTAAGTAAATGCGCTGTTTTTTAATTAAAAAATATATATCTCTAAAAATAGCATATGAACAGAATATATATATATATATATATATATATATATATATATATATATATATATATATATATATATATTCTGGGAATTTTCAATTTAGAATTTTTGTGTTTTGGGTATATATTGTAGCCAATTCCATTTAGATTTTTTCATATTTTATTTCTTTCTATCATCTTTTTGTTTTGTTTCCATCATCTTTTTTATAAAGAGATAAACCCATTTATATGAAAGAGAGATAATTCAAAATTAAAAATACATAAAAATAAACAGTATATCAGAAAAATAATAAAAAATATAAAAATTAATATATTGAAATGATATTATTATCTTAGGATGAAATATCCATTTAACATCCACACTTAAATCAACATATAAATTAAACCATTCCATCTACAAGGAAAAAAAACAGTTAATATTTATCATCTCATCTATAATATAATGAACCAATAAGAGGAAGATTAAATAAAAGAAAAAATCTACACTTAAAATTAGAAAAGAAAGTGAATAAATAAGAATCTATAGAATAAATTTTATAAGATAACACTATATAATAAATAAATATAAGTATATTAATTAAATTAATTAATAAATATCAAAAAACTTTTAAAGAATATATTAAATATTACATAAAAGATAATAAATAATAAATATTAATAAATATAATAATAAAAAATATGTAAAATATATATAAAAAATATATAAACTCCTTAAATATTGTACTAAGATAAATTTACAAATACTTCATCAAACCAAATAATAAAATATATATCAGTAAAATACACTTCAATACTACATATAAATATTATATATTAGTATATACAGCACATATTAAAATATTAAAAAGACCTAAAATTTTAATAAATTTCTAAATACTTCATAAATAATCATACCAATTGATTAAAATAAATATATAAAATTCAGCCTATAGAAACATCATAATTATGTATTATTACACAACAACAAAACATCATATAAGTTATATTCTAGTATATTATTATTACATAATATTCCTGTAAAACTACAATACTTATTACGTAAATATTAATTATCACATAAATTAACCCCTTCTGTATAATACTACCATATAATAAGATAAAATGTCTCTCTTTCTCATTCTCTCTCTCTCTCTCTCTCTATATATATATATATATATATATATATATATATATATATATATATATATATATATATATAGAGAGAGAGAGAGAGAGAGAGAGATGTAATTTTTTTTTTTTATTAGGTGTTTTATTAGTAGATTTGTATATAGAGATTTTATATCTAAACTAGCCATATATTTGTTTTTAATGTTTATGTTTTTTAATTTTTTTAGGAGGTCACCTGAATTTTTTATGTGTGATGGACTAATAATGCCGAGAAGTGGAG